CCACCTAGCGTCGGTTCTGCGGGTTTGTGGAGACCACGTGGCGTCTCCACCAGGTTCCAGTGCGGGTGTTGCCGCGGACCCTCAGCGTTGCCGCCGCCAGCGCCACCTGCGCCGTACATGAGCCAGGTGGCATTACTGTCGCCTCTTGCGTGCGCTGCACGGGCTGGCTTGGTTCGGCGCATCGCGATTCGTGGGCGTGTTTTTGGGTAGCTGAGTGCACCCAGTGAGTGCAATGCTGCCTGAACTAAGTTCGAAACGGGATTTCTTAACAACTGAATCCGGTTGATATTCAAAGTGACAACAGCTGGGTGTGATGCTCCGCGTGGGGCGCGTGTAAGCCGGTTTTAGCACAAAAGTACGTATGAAAAAAGGACGCATGCCTGAAGTATGCGCGCAATCCTTCGTAAGTTCCTGTACTATGGTAAAAAATGCACTTTTTTGGCTTTTTCCATGGCTTTGACTTCAATTTTCCTCCCTCCTTGGGTTGTTCAAAACTTCAAGCTGTTGTTGCTATCATTGAGACTTTCAAACACTTAGCAGCCGAGGCCGCGTCGCGTCGCCTGCTTCTTACCCTGCCAGGAAGGGAGGGCACCGCGGAGAGCAGGGAGGACCCTGCATCTCCGGTTCCCCAGCCGTGCAGTTTGAACCCTGCACTAAGGTGCAGTGGTGCGGGCATACCTGTAAACGTGACACCGTTTGCCGGCATCCCGTTTAGAGCTTTTAGTGCGCGTATGAAGTTGTTCAGCATTATCACCAGCACATGTAAAATAACCGGAATGTGATGTACCGGATGAAGTAGTTAGTGTTATCGCAGTGGCAACAACCACAGTGACTTACTGAGTCAGCTCACTAAATCTGGCGTGCCATGTGTTTAAAATGACCGGGGATCTGGCAGAGTCGCCAGCCTGTCTCTGGCACAAACTACCCGGCCAATTTTGCTTTCTAGTTTCGTAGCCAGATTTGTCTTCTCTCTCCTCCGAATCCAAACATGGAGAGTGGTCATACATTAAGGCATCACTACATGCATATCGATGCTGTGGGCCACGCGCTGCGTGATATGTTGCGCGACCCTTGCGTCTAAACCAGCATCATCCTGTTCAGATAAGAGACTGTAGGTTTCTGCTGCTGGGAATGCGGAAGTAGTTGGTGACGCGAGCTGTTACAGTGTCTCACACTGGTCTAATCGCACGCTTCACCTCGCTGCGCCACACTATTGCTCTCTGGAAAACAACTCGAGTCCGTTTGAGATATCGGGCGTTTTCCTAAAAAAATACCACCGTGGTTTTGGCTGCCGCGATAATTTGTGCGTGTATAAGGGCGTGTGCTCGAGCCTACTTTTAAATGCTAACGAGCGTAAAATATAGCGCGTATTTCCACTCTGGCGCTCTTGTATTCGCTTCACGAAGTCATCACGCCACAGTCGAGAGCTCTTTCTCTATGCCGGTGCATAGTAGAGACGCCGGCCTTCTACGGTGCAAATATTACGAGATCATAGCAGTAAGCAGAGATTTTGCAGCGTGAAAAGTGAACAAGCAGCATGCAGAACAATACCACATCACGCAAAACGAGATACGGCGCATCCAAATTGTGTAAGGACTGGTCAGGTATGGTTGATCACATCGGTGAACCCGATCAGTTTAAGGCAGGCAGAGTGAAGCACCACCCCACCTGCTACCTTTCCCATGAACTATCCGAGCGCAAAGGAACGAACATGCGCTAACCAAGGAAAAAGCACGCCAACGGCGAATGTGTACTCGCAGCCCGCTGCGTTCTGTTCTGTCCATGTAAGCCGTCCGTTCTTCGATGCTTGACTAGTGCGGGACGATGAACAGGGATGAGCGAATCCGACAGCGATTATATTTGTAAGTTATTTGCATACTTCATTGACTGCAGCATCCGTCCATTGCCACGATTGCTTCTATTGCGCACGGTTTCGGGACCCAGCACCAAAACTACATACTATGCCAAGAATATTGCATGGTTGCACGTGGCATTACACAGCTTACCTGCACGAGTAACAAAGGTTTTATTCGCTGCGGTCATGTCGATGGTGGTTTTAATCGTCAGTTGCAGCTGTTTGTGCAGGAACAACAATGCGCATTCTCCATGCGGGCGAATGAAATAGCCTTCTACTCGCACGAGCAAGCCATGCCATAAAATAAGAGCATGTTTGCAAATCACCGCATTGACCTTTGCTCTAAAGTTATTTCAACTGAAACAGAGTGAAAAACATCAGTTTCCACGACATGTTTTGTTTTGCTTTCAAGATCCTCGCCGCGAATCAAGCGTCCATGAACTTGGGGGTAAGCTTGGGTCAGTTAAACTACCAACTTAACGGTTTCTGAAATGTAAAATACGGCCTGAAACCCCAGCCAAAGGCATGAAAGTAGTATTTGAGTAAAGTAGCAGTTGTGTCTGTCGCATAAGCAAACATACTTTGAATACCCATAGTTGTCACACATTATATCACATTGGTAGATCTCCTTGCAAAGATATGATCAAAACGGTCGTTTCCAAAAGTCTGGGAGGCACGGGTGCGTGTGGCATGATCACCCTGCAATGCACGCTGTGCTATAAACCGAACGTTGGAGTGGGTGGTTCCCACCTTTTTGATGAAAAACGACATTTTCCCTGGTCCTTTTGTGGGACACCAAGGATGCGATTGTCATGTTAGCGTCAGGAGGGAGGGGGTAGAACGGCAGAAACTGGGGGCGCCGGTACCCGGGTAAGTGTCACCTGCTCTCCAGTCACCGTGAATAAACATCTAGCGTGTTTTGATGGTCCACCAAGAATATTCTTTTTACGTGACGTCACGTAGAATCTTTGCTGGACGTATGAGCAGCGGGGGTACGTCTTCTGTGCACATTTTCTTAATTCGCGACAATAACCGCAAACGCGAGACGTTGACATTTTTTCTCTCACGTGCGCCTTAACCACACAAACTGCAAATCACGCTATTTGTAGCCTATGAGACACAGTATCTTTATCTACTGTCAGCCCTGTCCTCTAAAACTAACTTCTTACAGATGAACCTTTGGCGCACTTCTGTCCAGCTGTGACCAAGTAGCACAAAATTTATTCCGGGCGACCGACGACGATCCTATCGTCCGTGACCTCATGTAGAACTTTTGTCGTCCGGCTCGCTGCGAACGCTAGAGGGTCGGCACCTCCGGGGTATGACGTCACATGTTTATTGTCGTCCGGGTCACCGTGTGTGCTATTTTCGTCCAGTGAGCTCTACGCAGAATGTCAGGCAATGACGAATATGCCATTTAGGTTCGACGGATGACAGAAGTTTAGAACAGCTTGCACATGTTACAAAACATCTGACCTAGAAGTGAGATCGCTTCTACAGAAACGTGACGTGGTGTCATTCATTCTAGTCTCTTGATACGGGTGCACCTAATTCGAGTGAAACGTGGAGGATTGTACAGAATAATGAGCATGAAAGGTTTTAAGCTGCAATCCGGCCATTACAAGCTTCAACAAAGATGTGAATGATGTTTTTTACGACTTCTAGTCGCACGAAGGCGTGAATCAATGGATTTACAGCGCTGGAATAAGGCTAAGCAAGCAGTCATTACGTGGCAGGCGTTTCGTTTTCCTTTCCGTTCCCATCAGTGAATACCTGGCCATGCTGTTTCCAGGCAAGCAGCGCTTCGATTGTGTCGTCCGTGATGGATGGGGCCTGCGTGACGGCGAGGCCATTTTTCATTCTGCATTCTATTTCGTTTATGATTTGTTCCTGTTCACCGGTGCGTGTTCTTCTCTACACTACATGCCCGGTGAGCAGTCCGTGATCACAAGCGTGGCCCACTAAGCCTAATTTAGGGTATGGCTAAAACCAAGGCAATTAGGCTTTCAAGCCCGGCTGACCAAACCTGCAGAACTGCACGACATCACATGACTGGAGCAAGCAGAAAGTAGTGTTTCCAATTTCATAGGTGTCCCGGGTACTTGTCATGCGTGGTGATCTTGCGCAATGCGCATGCTTGCCTCACCGATCGCCTGCCGCCACGTGCACGATCTTTAAAGATCCCGCCACGGTCTGCACTCCCTGGCACGCGCAGGCTCCTGCCAGCATCACACATGTGGCACACGAAACAACGCAGCGCACGGCCGGCGGAATAATCAGCACCTTGGCTGCTGGAATTCTCGCAGTTGTCACATCGCCCCGTCATTGCCGTGCACCAGCGCTGCTAACAGCTCGCTTTGCGGAATTAACTCCGCGCCAACGCTTCCCAATGCTTGCAGCAAACGTGTCCTCGTGTGCTGACCTCAAGCAAGGTGCAGCAGCTTTTCCTGCAGCCGGGTTCCACCCCGCCCGCGGGGCGACCGGTCGCCGAACTTGCAAACGGCGCGAAGTAGCCTGCATGTGTCGCCAGAGTCTACGCCCGGCGCGCCACCGTGACCCCGCGGCCCGCCCGCGCGGTCCCACCTCGGCACCCGCTCCCAGTGCCGCAGGTCATGCGGGGGGAGAAGGGGGGGGGGGGGGTGTCGCGTGGCATCGACCGGCAGCGGGGGGCGCTATTTCTGCCGGCCGCGGCGTGCAAGGGCTCGGAACGCGCGTCACGCGAGTGGCCGCTCATGTAGATATTTGTCTGTGAACCGGGACCCGTCCGCACGTCCGACTGCCGTGCATTATTCACGGGGCAATCAATGGCGCGACGCCGCCTGTTGGCCGCTGGCCGCGCCCGGCCATGGCCGCCGCCACCGTAGACGGCCGTAGACGGCGGGCAGGCGCCGCCGCGCTCAGGGGCGCGCCGCGCCAGCTGCAGTCGCCGGCCGTGCCCGGGCCGCGCGTGGACGTGGCGGGCGGCGTGCTCGGGCGGCGTGCTCGGGTGACGTTCTCGGGCGGCGTGCTCGGGTGACGTTCTCGGGCGGCGTGCTCGGGCGGGCGTGCTCGGGTGACGTTCTCGGGCGGCGTGCTCGGGCAGCGTGCTCGGGCGGCGCGCGCGGTCGGTGTGGAGGCGTGGGCGTCGAGGGCGGCCGGTCGGCGGCACGATAGCGTGGCCGCTGGACGTGCTGCGGGCAGTGAGAGGTGCGGTGGCTTGTTGACGTCGGGCGGTGCGCCGGAGCCAGGAGTCTTCCCGTCCCCGTCATGGGGGACCCGGTCTATCTACCACCGCGCGCCGGTAACGGCAAACACTTCGCCGCACTCACCGAAATGGTAGGAGTCTGGCGTTTTGGCCCCGGCAGGCGTAGCCAGCCGGGCGAGCCAGGACCGTTCCGGGGAGTATTTGTAGGTCAGCTGGGGACGACTGCTGGGATCCATAACGGTTCTGGCGGAAATGCCGCGGAACGGTTGTCGGGACGCAAGGCTACCTTTGTCTGCCTGCGTAAAACGTCCATATATCGCTCTGACGAATGGCTTCACCCCACTTATTAAGTGTACCTAGGGACGAGAGAGGGAGATAGAGGGATATATATATATATATATATATATATATATATATATATATATATATATATATATATGTGCATATGTGCGTACATGGTTACGGTGTATATGCGTATATATGCCATATTTAGATGATATATATTTTCTAACTCGTATCTGTTCATATTAAAAACTGCTATCATTTAAACCTTACACGTTGTAATCAACACGTTTTACTAGAAACCCTCTGCTCAGTATTATTCACGAAACCGAAACAACAGCTTCAGGAGATTGCCTCACGGTCATCCGGGCATGCTGCTACCGTGCTGACGAATGATGACAGAGCACTACTTACCGAAAAGAGAGATTCCCAGGCATCTTCACCATTAACGATGCCAACGAAGAATCCTCAGCGTATCAGACGAAAGGGTCCATATCGCTATCGCCTGCACGTGCACTGCATCGTCCTGGAAACGATGACAACATGAAGTTGCGCAGCGTGTGATGCCAACCTGCACCATGTTCCTTTTCAATAATCTTGCTATGACCATTCCGTCTTAAACAGCGATGTTTTAGCATGAATAGTTTCACGGTGCAAACCGGGGCATTTACCGACGTAAGACCACGCATGGGCAAGCTTACATATTCCGGGCACATTTGGGGTTTGGGAACAAAAAAAAAGAAGCTTTTGGGTGCATAACGTCACATCATAGTGCGGCCTCATGTGTCATTTGTGCTGCCGTTTCAAACACCTCGTCCTTTTGTGGAGGCCATTCTTATACAAAGGAACATGCGTATCGTTGGGGCTTAATCAGCGTGAGCCTTGCGGTTTCATTGGCAGGTTTAAAATACTTCCGATTCACCATCGGGCCTCAACCCTGCAGGAGGTAACACGCTTATAATCAGGGCCTTTCGCTATCCGTTCATGCCTCGACCGTATTTTGTCCTGCCAAGAAACTGTCACCAACATGTTCGTTCGTGGGCGTTCACGGTCAACTGAAGCCACAAGGTGGCAAATCTCACGGAGATATTAGAGCATTTGGAATGCTGGTGTTTGTCCAATGTGCAGGTGTGTAGGATCAGGCATGGGGAGATGGGGAAGCTCTGCATTCCAGTCGGCGATTAAGGTCCAAACTGGGGGAAGCTCTTGCATTCCAGTCGGCGATAAGGTCCAAATGACATCGCGATGACACTGTTCATTTGCTATGGTAGATGACGTTTCAGCCACGCAGGTTTATTAGTCGGTCGCCAGGTGATTTGATTTCTATCGCTGTTTCTATGATATGGTTGCCAAACGCTCCGTCCGTAACTCAGCGTCCTCGATATCGTAGCGCCAGTTTCCGGCAGGATGCTACGGTCGTTATCCGCGCATCGCCGGGTACAGCCTGGCGAGGCGTCGAACACAGTTCGCCCGCCCAACAGAGGTGCGCGTGTGATCCGTAGGCTGGAGGGAGTTGGTTTAAAACGCACGCCCCGGACAGGCGGGAAGTCTGGACGATATCGAACGTGGTGTGTGTGGCAGCGACCCATTTTTTCGGTGGAAAGGTAGACAAGCATACAGCTCTTGTTAGCCTATAGGCGACAGTTGACCTGAGTGGGCGCCCAGCTATTCCGCAATTATCACCCGTCCCTACTCGGCATGTCCCAAGGCGACCCGCAGCACACGCGTCAACCCGACGCGGTTCCGGGGTTGGGCGGGTGCGCACGGACAGGTGATGGCCGCCGCACGCCGCCCGACCCACCCACCGGTGGACAGCCAGCAAGTGTCGACGGCCTCCCCCGTCGCCGGCCAAGTGGACTCGGCCGCCGCCCACCGCGTCTCATGAGATCGTGCGCGGTACTTTCGGCCACGGAGAGACGGTCGGCGGCAGCGCCGCAGCGATCTGTCGTCGACCAT